AACAGGTACATCAGCAACTCAACCACCAACAGGTACATCAGCTACTCTACCACCAACAGGTATGTCAGCTACTCAACCACTAACAGGTACTTCAGCTACTCTACCATCAACAGGTACATCAGCTACTTTACCACCAACAGGTACATCAGCCACTCTACCACCAACAGGTACATCAGCTACTCTACCACCAACAGGTACATCAGCCACTCAACCACCAACAGGTACATCATCTACTCTACCACCAACAGGTACATCAGCAACTCTACTGCCGATAGGTACATCAGCTACTCTACCACCATCAGGAACATCAGCAACTCTACCACCAACAGGAACATCAGCAACTCTACCACCAACAGGTACATCAGCTACTCTACCACCAACAGGTACGTCAACTACTCTACCACCAACAGGTACGTCAGCAACTCTACCATCGACAGGTACATCAGCTACTCTACCACCAACAGGTAGGTCAGCGACTCTACCACCAACAGGTACTTCAGCTACTATACCACCAACAGGTACATCAGCTACTCTACCACCAACAGGTACGTCAGCAACTCAACCACCAACAGGCACATCAGCAACTCAACCACCAACAAGTACATTATCAACTCAACCATCAACAGGCACATCATCTACTCTACCACCAACAGGTACATCAGCAACTCAACCACTAACAGGTACATCAGCAACTCAACCACCAACAGGCACATCAGTTACTCAACCACCAACAGGCACATCGGCTACTCAACCACCAACAGGAACATCAGCTACTCAACCACCAACAGGCACATCAGCTACTCAACCACCAACAGGCACTTCAGCTACTCTACCACCAACAGGTACATCAGCTACTTTACCACCAATAGGTACACATGTTACTCATTATCTTACTGTGCACTATATTGTAGACATATATTGTGGTTACCCCTTGCTTTTCATCACCAATTTGCTTTATGAATTTATTAGAGCAATATTTCAACTTCAATTTGATGAAAGATAATTTCATGTTATCTGCTGGTAGTGCAAGTATATCAAGTATAGAAAGTTTTTGTTTTTGAGAATAACCAAAACCATGGGGTTTTTTTGAGTACATTGATAGATGGTTAACTAATAGTTCTACTTCAACTGTCAAAATCTTATACAGATAACATGACTTATTTAAAACCATGAGGTTTTTCGTAAGTAGTGGAAGGTTGAACCCTCTTACATGGAATATAACCCATAGAAATGTCCATAAATTAAAATGCATTGATACCACACTGAAAGAGATTTTAATAGGGTTTTTATACACCCACACATTTGAAAAATCTCGTATCGCGTATATTGTAGTTTCCCTTGTTGGTCGGTCCTTCCGTCGGTCCCTCCGTTCACATTTACCTTGTGCTCACTCTACCAGCTACAATTCTCCATGGATTGTTTTTTTTTAATCTTTGTATTGTTGTCAATATCATTATGAAGATGTGCACTATTGAATTTGGTGATGATCTGATGATTTTCTTGAAAAATATTGCATAAAACTCTGATATCGCATTCACTTGTTTTTTTCTTCACTTTTTTGGCTCTTGCTCACTCTACAGACTACAGTTCTCTATTGATTCTTTTGATCTTTTTGTATGGTTGTCAATATCATTATGAAGATGTGCACTATTGATTATCCGATTATTTTTTGGAGAGATATCGCATAAAACTCTATCGCGTTTTTTCACTTACTTGGCTCGTGCTCACTCTACAGGCTACGATATAGTGTTTGTTTTACAGTTAACATTTAACTATTTATCAAGCTGCTGGTGGGCGTATTTGCTTGTGAGCAAGCCTATTTTCATTGAAGAATTCAGCCTTATCGCTTTGTTAAAACAGTAATCAGAAAAACATTTTATCTTTCATTCAATAATCTACTGCCTAGACAAAACTTGTACTATAGAACAAAATGTTTGGATTATAGACCAACATACCTATTCTTGGTTAAAAACTCAAAATTCTACAAATTACCCTAATGTTTTGCTTTTTAATTTCCTACGTATACTCATTATATATTGTATCTATTTGTTTTTTTTTTTAGAAACTAGTGTTTCAACAACAGCTGGTCCTGGCACTACATCAAGTAAGCTTATGATTTTTAGATGATCAATATCTGCAATAAAATTCAATATGCTAGAAAAAAAACAGAAAAGTATTTTAATGGTTACTATATATTAAGTTCAAGATTTGTTTATCATGGTTGCAATAATCATATCTATTAATTTCTTTTATAGCACCATGTACCAAGGTCGCTGGAATGGACAACCCACAATTACTTCCTGCTAGTTATCTACAGCAACCAGTTGACTCCCCATCATCAGATAATCCTGAGAACTTAAGACCAACTTCATCAACTCCTTACAAGATTCCTAATGTACCGAGTGAGGGAGTTAACATTACAGTCCGCCTGTCACCAGATGGTAATCCAGTTCCTCTTAGTGATGTTGAAGCTATTAATACTGATAATGTTAAGTCAATAAAAGTGTTTGTATATGATGATACTCAAAAGGATTATGTACCAATAGAAGAAGTAACTGGCTCTGTAAGTTGTTTTGTTTTATGAATATTATTGTTTTTTATATTGTTGTTGTTGTTATGTTTTTATCTTGTTGGTGATGAGTTATTAATTCTCTGAACTGTGTTTTAGACATTAACAAAGAAAGTATTACCTGATGGAGTTGATACATCCAAAATCAAAATACTTGTTATACCTGATAATCCAGACAATCCAGTTGAAATTAAATTGAAAATCCATGCCTGTTTTGAAGGTAATATTTTGTGAATATTTTTACTGAAATGATCGATTCATATTGACTTAGTTTCAATTTACTGAAGAAAGTTTTATTTATGTCCACTTGAAGATTTACTTCAAAATATTGTTTTGATCACATTTAAATGTAAATATATGAATATCTTGTTCAAAGATGATAATGCATGAATTCATGTTTTACTGGTCACCCATTTTTCAGTTCTGCCATTTCATATTCTTTATCTATTG